GGGGGGGGGGGGGGGGGGGGGGGGGGCTGTCTGCATTCAGTTCAGAAGTTTATATCATTTGTCCATTCTTTACTTACTGGTGTAAAAGTCAACTACACAGGTGTAAACATGTCATGCATCCAAGTCTTAAATCTAGCTGAGAATCTTATTTTTGATGCCAATGCATCTTTATCTTGGAGATGGTAGAAACAGATTTACTGGGATGAGTTTAATTTCAGCATTTTCCAAAACAAAGTTCTCTACTAGTGCAGAAGGTCAGGCTCCATGCTCTGCTTCAACCTCCACAGCCCAGGAATGGGTTCTCCATTGAGATCCCACGTACTCCAGCACAGCATCCCACAAAGGTGGTTGCTGAAGTTGCAATTACAGATCCAGTGGCATCCGTACTCCTTGAACCCCTTGATCCAGAAGAACTTTGGCTATCCCTATATATGCAATGTGTCTGTGCTGCAACCCCACATTGTGCCTCAGTCTGCTGGAGGGTCTATAATCATATCTAGACATTATCTAGATAGAGCCCAAATACCTAGGTACAGTGTAGGCAGTACACTGTACAATCAGTACACTGATTTTGCCCTCAGTAATGAATGATGAAATTCACAAGTGGAGTCACTGGCATTTGGAGGCACTTTGCTCGTCCAAGGAGATATTTAGTGTCTGGCAAGATCAGGCCAGTCCCATGTTCTGATTAAGCTAATGGAAACAGCACCAGTTGGAGAAGCTTGCTTGTTTATTTTAGTTCAGTTTAAATTAACATTTGCTTAAACTGCAATGTAGCTGCACTGGAAAACAAATTCTATTAGTAGGTTCTCTACCAGATTCCCAGCAGATGTATGTCAGTGTAGATCCCTTGAGGTTTCTGCAGCTGCATCATTACAATGGGATTTATCTGATTTCAGCACATGAAAAAAAACACATAAAAGTTCCCCTCCTGGTCCCTTTGGGCCCAAGGTCACTACAAGGAGAGAGCCCCCAGCCCCTCACAGGAGTCACTCACCACAGAATCAGGCAGTGATAAACACAAGAAAACAGAACTGCAGGGGACTAGCTGGATCAACAAGTCCAATCTCCTGCATTTGCAGGCAATCTTGCAATAGATGCTATGTCCATCGGTCTCGGGTTGGGTTGGGTACTTGGAAGGCTCAGATCCAACCCAAAATCCACTGAAGTCAATGGGAATCTCTCCTTTAATTGATTTTGGAAGAAATGTGTCTTGGGCATTTATAGACATCCTCTGGTGTGGGGCAGGTGCTTTAATCAGAGTGGCTTGAAGAGCCACTCTAATTAAAGCACCTGGAGTATCACATGCATCAGCATCCCCACACGAAAAACGGCAGCGGGTGAGCTTTAACTGAAGCTCGTTGAATGAGCTCTAGTTAAAGTGCCCCTGCCACCATTTTTCAGCACAGGAACACTGATACACATGACGCTGGCGTCTGCTGAAGTGTGGTAATTACCACGTTCCAGCAGACTTGATTAATCGACTCGAGTAATTACAGTGTCAGAGCAGCCTCCCTGGATGTGTGTAGGAACCCTTGGAGGCTGAAGTCAATTGTTTTTTCTTTACAGTAGTAAACACCTTAGAAGGAATCCATGTGCAAAACGTTATAGTTTTTCCATGCTTACACATTGGTCACATCATTGTTTGGAATAAGACGGCTACCATTACCTAACAACTGTAACTCCCTAAAACTGGACTTGGATTAGAGCTGGTTAAACATTTTCAAGATTTCAGAGGAAATTCATCATCAATATTTTGAAAAATGTGAAATTATTTCTGCAAGCATTTAACAAATGATTGTGCTGATTTTCACCCAGTTCCTGTTCTTGCATTCTACAGTAAAAAGATATTTCTTTAAATTAAAAAAAAAAAATCACCCATTATGCAAAAAATGAAATCATCCTACGTTTACACAAGACCAATATTTAAAGCCATTCATAAGAAGGCTTACTTTCTCTCCCTTTGGAAAAACAAATAAACCTGCCGTGCCAAGATTGATTTCCATAGCAAAGTTAATACTTTGCTACTCTCAGAGGCTGCATTGTACCAGAGCTGTATTTTTTTCTGAAAAAGAAAAATGATACAATGAATACTTAGAAGTAAAGCTAATTAAAATGAAGGCAGAGAGAGAGAGAGAGATCTATAAGAAAATATATACAGAAAATGTTTTAGCTTAGCTGGTCTGAGCTCTTTTAGCACTGACCCCATAGGCAAGAATATTTGATTAGTTCATTTTAACATGCTGACTTTGCTGGAACAGCAAAACAGTCCTGAGTGCCTGAGTGGAATCCAGGATCCTGGTCTCTGTAAATGGTAGCTTACTACCCATTAATATATCCTAGAGGGTATCCTAAGTTCAGGGGTATTTTATTTTTAATTAAGAGTTCTTTGGTCTTTTATTTTCATACACACACGTGCTACCTCTGAATAACTGATCAGGGAACTATCATACTTAAGGATGGACTGTCCCTGGGTTTTGTGTAGGGGGAGAAACAGTGTAGAAGGTCTTTACCCTCTGCCACTCTATCTCCAAGCAAATAGCCAAGAGCTATCCCATCTGTTTTTGGGGAAGTATAAAAACTGTGAGGGCTGCCCCAGGTTTGCACTCACTGCCATGAAAAGATGCTTAGAAGTAGCAGGAAAGGTGGTGAACAGGTGGGACTATACATCTTCTGCCTCAGCCTAGCCTGACTTGGGGAAACAAACCTCACAAAAAGAACTTAAGGAAGGAGAGGCTGTTCCTGAGGCACAATCCCTACCCCGGTCCCTTCCAAGGTAGAGTAGATGCACTCTAGCCAGGCTGGGGCATAAATAAAAATGTGACACCTCAGTCCTTTTGTTTCCAGGCAAAACAGTCAAGAATTGGAAGGGGGAGAGGAGAAACACAGCTAGTGCTGCATGAACCCCATTCCTTTGGGCTAGATGACGACTTCAGGTATAGCCCCATGCAGGGGGGACATGTAAGGTGCATTACTTCAGGAATAACCTCAGGAGGGGCTGTGACTCCCGATTCACACTTCTCCCTGCCATTGCTACATGAAGGACAGTGATGACCACTGGCATATGCTAGAAACAAATTACTACCTCTCAGTCCAGGCCCCAGCTCAGCTACATACACCAGTGAGTAGGCAGGAAGCAGAGTTGAGACTCCAGCCATTCCTGTCCCTGAATGACCACTCCTTGGAAGTTCCTTCTTTTTACCAGTTTCTTAGCAATTACCTCAAAAAAGGCTCTCATTAAAAATCAGACGACTATTATACAGGGGACTCAACTAGGGTTTTTTTGTTTTTGTTTTTTGAGGGGGGGTGCTCAGTTCACTCAAACATTACATGGATTCTAAATGATCTTGGAAAAGAGGATATGAAAGATGACTCACTCCCTATTAATGTCAATGAGGGAATTATTCAGATCAGAATTTGACGGGTGACCTTTCTTCACAGGTCCCGGAGAAGTGTTTAGCTCAGCAAAAAAAAGGACGCAAATCAGCTCTTCGCAGCATGATTTGGCACATTTGAAAGATTACTATGCAAATTGCATGGGGAACTATCCCTCTGAAGGAGGAAGGAGCCCACAGAGATTTCACAGCTTAATTAGTTGTCCTGTAGATCATAAGGTTATCTGATTTGTTGCAAGCAGGGGTGAAATGCAGTGCATTTATGGATGCTTACCTATAAACCTTATGATTCTTCGAAGTAATGGGTTCAGGTAGCAGCATTCTCCAGTCAAAATTGTTTTCTCCTGGACAATCAGGGTTTCTCGGGTTGACTTTATGAAATACATGGATATCTCACCAATGAAAATCTAAAGTGGGGGAAACAAAAAGAAAAAAGGAAGATTAGGAATCATGTCACGTACCCATATGTAGGGGCTGAAGTCAGGCCCACAGGAAATACTTTTGTCCCAATTTGCCTACACAACATGTTTAAACTGTGTCTTGACGAGGAAAAAAAAAAGGTGTGTTCTTGAGCTCAATTCACTAGCCTGAGTTCACTAATAAGCAGTAAAATCCTCGCCAAGAAAAGGCAGTTTGTAGTTTTCACTCATGTTAGTAGGTCAGAGCAATTTTTCTTTCCTTTGAGGCTGCCAACAAAAATGCTGAGTTAGTGTTGATTGGTTTATGGGCATGGTTTATGTGAGAAGACACCTCCTAGGCAAGAACTGGTTTGAGGTCACTAAACTCATTTGACACAGGTCACTGAACAGTCATCAGAGGTAACCTTTCAGTCTACTGGTTGGACTGAATTTGAACTGGTGGTCTACCAAGAAACAAAGACTCTGGTGGTCCGTTGATTTTTATCTCCACTATATTATGCTATATATATATATATGTGTGTGTGTGTGTGTGTGTGTGTGTGTGTGTGTGTGTGTGTGAGAGAGAGAGAGAGAGAGAGAGAGGGAGAGAGAGAGGATATTTGCATAAACTCAGTGCAAACAGACCATGCATTCACTGTCCCAGAGCCACTGTTCACTTTCTGTAAGGCTGTTGTTGGGGTTAACTTGGTAAGCTGGGCTGTCAATCAGACTTAGCCAAGGTCTGCTGCCAAGGAAGGACACTAGAAATCTGACTTCAGTGGGAGTGGAATTATGCCAATGCTGAGTGCTTCTGAAAAAACACCCCTTTGTGTTTTACACATCTGCATGTTATAGAGAAGCAATTTTTAGTGTGCTTCAATGGAAAAAGAAGCCTGCTTGAAAAAGTGGTAAAATGATTTTATATAAAAAAGAGCACTCAAAGCAATTTTATGCAACTGAGCTATTAAAGACATGGGAAATGAAACTGCCCCATTAGAGGAGAGCCAAAGTAGTGTATAATAAAATGCATACACACAGCTTGAGAATAAATAGCAAGCAACTATTCTTGGACTGCTTGGCTTGTTGAAACAGTGTGTTGTTTCAAGGGCAACGATTTATTCTTATTAAACTGCATGAGCATCCTTATTGATTATTTAAGAACATTCAAGCCAAATGCGCTCAGCCTCGTTATAATTCTAACCACTGTGGGGTGGAGACATGGGGTTATAAAATGCACATCAATAATGGAATTGGAGAGGCAGGGGCCAAAATATGGAAGCCTTACTGATATATCACCTCTATCCAGTTTCATTCCATTTGTTCCTGAGCGAGTTGGTGTGTAGTTCAATACAATTCAATTCACTAGCTCAAGGGGAAGGCCTAGAAAATGAGGTAGCAGCCACACCAACATAGTTTAAAAGCAGCCCTTGATACTCTGCACCTTCCCCCACTATCTTTTTCAACCCATGTAAATAGCACTCATAAGATCCTGTCCTAAAGAGCTTCCAAGCTGACTTAAGTCAAAGCAATGATGTGCAAATAGGTGGATAAAAGAATCTTCTTAGACAAGGAGCCAAGATGGTTTTGGTTTTGTTTTGTTTTGGTTTTTTTTTTTGGGGGGGTGGTGGGGAGGGGGTTGGGAGGATAATATCTTTTATTGGACATTCTTTCAGAGGCAAAGTTCTTCTTCAGGTGAAGGGCAGGTAAATATTTTCAAACAAGGGCATCTTAATACAAGACACAATAATATTGACCAAAATAATACTACTTTAAAATAAATCTATTTTTTAAATGTCTTTGAATTAAAAAAAAAAAATTGAATCGTTCCCCTCCCCATCTCTAATTTGAGGATCCTAGCCCACTTTTCCAGTTTCAAACTACTCTTTTGTGTGTGTCTTGGTATAACTCTAACTCAACCCCACAACCTTGATTACTTCTCATTTCCAAAAGCACAACCAAACAATTCATGGCCCTTAATTTGGATGCAGACAGTCCTTCACATTTCCGTTTATGCCCCAACTAATGTTGTACTTAAAATGGATTATTTGTAAGCAAAGTGTAGCACAATGGGACTGACTTCTTTCCAGATGGTTTGAGAGCAGTAGAACTCCACTGACTTTCCTGATTTAGATTCTGAATCAGCATGCGCTCCTTTTTAAGCATCCAAGTAGTCTAGGTGACTTCACTTATGTGCTTAAAGTTATACACAT